AATTGTACCAATAATTTTGTGATTTCTTTTTGACCGTGAAATACTTTCAGGATGTGTTGAATAGGCCCGCTCACGAATTTGGAAATGATGAAACAGTTGAAACTTTATGGGCTATGAAAGCCATGGATCATGTTATTGTCTATTTTAATGTACATTTATTAAAATATTTATCTTCAACTTATAGGCAATATTCAGTACAGACGTGCCTTATTTCAGATACTTTGCTCTGTAGACCCAAAATTTCTCAAAATGTGCCCCCAAGATGAAATTATCTACCATTGTTTTCGTCAAGAATTTCCAGATATGGATGTTAAAGTACTAGATGAAAATTCATTAAAAGGCTATACAGGAAAATGCCGATGGAGAGAATTTTGTGAACGATTCAAACATATAGAAGATTACAGTTTTGGTACCTTAATACGCTTAGATTGCACATTGGATTATAGTCCAGAAAATACTATTTTAGTTCCAAGAGTTCAGTTTTATGCCATAGAATCTGCTCGAAATAAAGAAGGCCTTAATGACTGCATCAGAAAAAAATATGCTAATGTAAGTGATGTTGCGAGTAATGAAAATGTAAATCCCATAGAAAATAATTAGCATGGTTATGTTTAAGATGTACATGAGAAAAAAGTGTGGTTATATATATATATTTTTTATATTTAATAAATGATATATTCAAATGCATTTTTTTTTAATTCTCTATCATATTCAAATGCGCTTATGATACAAGTGCAAAAATTACATGCAGTTTTCATAATCCAAAAGATTTTATAATCGTGTAAATGTATTTATAGAGATTGCACTACTAGGTGGGCGCAATAATAATGCTCTTACTAAATAATTTAATACATATATTAGAGGCACCACTCTAGCCTTATGCTAATTGATTTGATTTATATTCAGAAATGATAAAAATTAATTCACTGTAGCAGTATTATTCAGTTGTTTTAATTAGAATTTTAATCTAAATTGCAAAATTTGCATATGAAATAAAAGAATAGGTAATACACTAGAATACAATGAAATAAATGCAATGAATTAGATCACAAATCATTGACTTGTTTTTTTATATTAAATTCAAAAGTTTTTATAAAACATTTCATTGAATTAAATCAATAAAGAAAGATAGAAATACAAATATTACAAGATACATTATTGATATTTTATAATAATAGTATGATTCCATAACTCATGTGGCACAGCCATTATTAACAATTAAATTAACAATATGAAAATCACTAATATTAAAACTATATTTAAGAAAGCACATTATATAAACATCAAATAAGTTCTCAAAGAAAGTTCTCAATATTCTCTTTTTACATGTATAATATAGTATCACTGTGCACATGCAAAAAGGATAAAATAATCACAATACCAAAATCTGTTTACAGTGTAACAATTATCATTAATATTAAGAATAGTTGTCCCACCAGCATGTGGAAAAAGTTTGGAGCTTTAAAACAAATTCAATTATGTATAATGCATATATATAACACATGCAAGCAGCAAGTGTGAAAAGGAGACAGTTTCTTCCATTATTTTATGGATAAACGAAATTTGTAATTGAAAATTGTTTTATGAAATTGTAAATTGTTTCAAATTGAACTGCGCTGTTTGTTTTTAAATTCAATTTGAAACCATGCTCAATCTATCAAAATATCAAATCTATAAATATGAGCAAAGATCACTAGACTTGAATGAACAAACTAATGGTTGTATAAAATTATATTTAAATTGCAATATTATGTCATCAATTCTTAAAATCAATGATTATTCTCTTAAGGGGATATTCTAGTGTAGAGGCATGAATTTTAGGTCATTTTTAAATCATTGTCATTTTCAAAAAAAAAAAAAGGAAATCATTTTTTTTACAATTTCTTCTGTAATATATTTATCAACGTTACAAGAGTACAGAAAAAATTAAAAACAAAAAACAGTTGATTTTAAAAATTATCACCACGATTGCAGCATTCCCAGTAATCCGTCATGAAATGATGTCGCAATTATACTATACTAGGATTAAGTTAAGAATAATAAATTTTTGACAAAATGGTGACTTTTTGAACAAAAAGAATCAATTTCTTGCCCACTTTGAGTTACTCGAATTTTTTAAAAATAGTAAAGATTGAAATTTGGGAATAAAGCTAGTATATGCCAGAGACAAGTCTATAAAGAATTTCTGAAAGTTTCAAATAAATCAGTTCAGTAGAACTGGAGAAATCGTGTTCTGAGAAAAACGCGTTTGAAGTTTTGCAAAAGGAAATTTCTCAAATAGCTGTATGTCCAACAATAATTCAAATTTTAAAAAATCCCTTTGTACACATATTCTTAAATAGTTAAACTTTGAAAAATATGAAACAAAAAAAAAAGATATTTATGAATTTCTACATTTGAATACACCCCATAAGTTGACAAGCTTAGAGCACTATCAACATTGATTTAAAAAAAAAAAAAAAATTGAATTGATAATATAATAATTGTGTTTTGATTATATAATGATGAGATTTGGTTCCATTTGTTAAAACGTTGAAATGTCTTTAATACTGCACCATTTGCTAGAGTTGATAAAACACCGATACAGAAAATGTTAAATTTTCACTTTTCATACTAATTTTAAGTTTAGAATATTTTATAGACAATATCCTCAATTTATTTTACAAAAAAAAAACTTCATGTTATGATATTAAATAAATTTGCTATTTTCAAAGCAACAATTCAAATAAATTTTGAACTATTTTCCATTCACTACAGAAAATTTTTAATTTTTCTTAATAAATTCAACTTTCTCTGTATTAAGTTGCGAAATTTTTTCTAAATATTTTTCTGCAGTATTAGCAAAAAAAAAAAACCTTGCGTTTATTTAATCATTGCTTTCGTACTGAAGAAAATGCATACAATTAATTTCCTTTTCAAAGAAACTTGTTTGATTAACACAAAGTTTGTTTTGCTTTGTTCTAATACGTTTTTGTTAATATAGTAGTAATAATAATACTGACTTATCACTAAATCAACGACTTTCAAAGATTTCCACCTAGAACCAATTGAATGATTGAATTATTGAAATGATTGTTTTATGTTTTAAATTTTAGATATAACATTCTCTTTTCAAATAATTTTTTTTATCATATATTTCAGAAACTAAAAAGTGCAAGCACAAAAGATGTGCAACACATTCTAAGAAGAATGTTTTAGTAATTAATTGCACCCATTTTACTTTTGTTTTTGAACTAATTTCATAGAGTAAAAAGGGGAACAATCTATCACATAAAAATAAGATTGGGTAAAAACTTTCTCTAAAAAACAACTTAAGAATAAAATGTTCATTTTATCAAGTATCAAATACCATGTTACAAATGACTTGCCTCCCTAACATAACCCTGGCCAGATATATATATATACCTATCCCCCGTTTTTACACGTTTTCGATCTTAGACGGTTTTTGAAAATATGTTTTTTAAAAAACTATTAATTTTGCATTTTCACTAAATTATAAATAATAAACAATATGCTTATATCTACAACATGATGGGAACTTCCCGTTTTCTAAATTAAACTAAAAATTATGTGTGTACTAAATTTTATGTGTGTATAATCTAGTTTGTTTGCAATATAAAAATAAATAGAATCATTGCTTTTAAACTGCGTTTTTAAGTAGTGTTTTTATATAATTGATACCTTAAATTCATTTAAGGTGAACAAACGAAATAACAGAATCATTTTTTTTCAAAATCGTTAATTTATAAAAAAAACTAGTGTGGTGCAAGGCATTGTGCCTTCAGGCAAACCCGTACCGTAATACGGAACCCAAAAAAATTTACACAAAATGTGTACACGTTATTAAAATCTCTATAAAATACCAGATAATTTGATGTGCAGTAAGTCCAATAAATATTTTTGACAGCAAAATGACATTTTTTTTAACTTATTTTTATTGAGAGTCCATAACCGATGGACTTGCCTTCCCAAACACTTAATTCAATTTACCTAAAGAGTAAAAAAAAAAGGTTATATCTGTACAAACCAATTTTAATTTTTATCTATAAAGAAAATTCAATATTTAATATATTTTTTTATATTATTGAAATAAATTAATTTTGTTAAAATTTATTAAATATGTTCGGTATTGAAGAAATTATTATTTATTTTTGGTTCAATATATTAGTTATACATCACATTAAAAATATACAAGAAAGGCATTTCTATAGTGATTTTCATTTAGCACGGTCTTTCCATACAAAAGTGAATTTTCCGAGTGACACGTTTTTTTCTGGAAGGTATCTTTCGTAAAAAACGGGGGATATGTGTATATATATATATATTATATAACGCAGCATACAATGCACAGTATTATTACAGCATACCAGGTGGGCAATCAGCACATATTTATATATCTTAATTATAAAATCAATTACAAAAAAGTGTTAACATCATTTCCATTTTCATTTCAAATCGTTTACGTCTAATATAAATACCATGCAATGTAAATTATAAAATAAAAAAAGGAAGTGATAAATTGGTTACTTATACAATATAAATTTTAATATATAATTTTCAAATATAAATTGATGTGGAATGATATTCATTATTTTTCAATTCAACATAAATAAATATAAATTAACAATTAAATCAATTTATTGCACTTGATTTGTAATAACAATCCAAAAATAGTTAATAAATAAATAAAATCTGATGCAATCAGTTACGTCACTTAACACTTATTTCTTTAAAATTTGGTTTTAAAATTGTTTACAAGCCTATTATTTAGGCATACAAAAATTCTGATACAGAATTCTGTAGATGCTAAAATTATATAGAAAGAACTTTACCATTTTCCTGTGATAATTTAGCACTAAAACGACTCTTATAAAGAGTTTGCAATGGCACATGCAATAGTTCCATGACTTCAGTAAAATTTGATTCTGAAACAATTCAAAACAAAAATTGACACTAAAACAGTATCACTACTACAGTAATTTAACTGATTAGTGTATTGAATCAATTTGTATGCATATTTTTTTTTTTATAAATTTCTATAATTTTTATTTTATGTATTACATTGAAAAAATATTCTATATATATATATATATATATATATATATATATATATACACATATATTCCAATAGCAAATGTCTAATTGTATAAAATTAATTTAAACCTTCTAAAAAAATAAGTTGAATACCACTACTGATAAGCATATTTTATATATAATCTCACTTGCAAATAATCAACATCAATGGTCTTCATTTAATAATATTAGTCAGCAGAGACTTAGCATGTTACATCAAAACAACAATCAGAAATTTAGCACAAAATACAACAACTGTAAATCACTTACCATTTTCAGGTGTAATTACTCCATGTCTTATTAAAAAGTCTATGACTACTGGACAGCTTGTTGTCTTAAAATCACTAGAAAATAGCCTCTCGTAACAATCATTGGCTGTGAGTAATTCAAAAGCTTGGACTTCACCATCTGCATTTCTAGGTACGAAGTCAACAGGAAGCTCCAAGTCAAATACAAATTCGGTATTCGGGAATATTCCTCTTTCACTCTCAAATAAAAATCTATTAGGATGTACACCATTAAATTAATACCATATATTAAAATTATTAAGTATAAAAATATAAATCAAAATTTGCAACATTATTATCCTTGTATTAGTAAAACACTTCTTAATATCATTTGTTTTAAAGTATTAATATTTACTTATATTTGAAATGATTGTTCAAAAGCTTCTAGAGTTAAAAATCTAAAAGAAAACAAAAAACTAATGTAACAAATTTTAATGAAAGCAGTTATTATTCTTACGATACACAGCCGGCTGATATTATTTTACTTGCGAGCGAATTAGGAATTGAAGCTTCCTCTGCAGCTTCTTTAATAGCAGTTTCCCTAATACCATAGCCAACAGACAATCCTCCTCCAACCATGTTATCCCATTTACCTTATAATAAAGCAATGAGACAAATAATGTGTGCAATAGATTATATATATACAAAACACAGTTATATATATATATATATATATATATATATATATATATATATGTGTGTGTGTGTGTATAGTTAAAAAAAGTAATGATAGCATACCAGGCCATGTCTGTTTCGTATCAGATCTTTGTTGCAACCATATGCATAAACCTTTAACAGGGTGATGTACATAGCCATTAATATCAACTCCATAGTTGCGAATGGCAAACAAACATGTAGCTGACCTATCCATTTCTAACAATGATTGATCACAACTTTTAACTTCATATCTCTGAAATAAGTAAATTACTAGTATCAATCATTCACCGATCATACTGATACTGATTCATTTTATCCATTTGCAAGATCTAGTGATTGTGACAAACATCACCTGATCATCATCAAATTTTAATATAAACGTATTCTACTGTACTTTACTCATATTGTATTTAATTACAGAAATAAATTCTTCGTGTCAATAATATGTTACATATTTATTTTAAATCAACTTATGTTACATAATGTATTAAGGTGACCATACGTCCCGGTTTGGCCGGGACAGTCCTGGATTTCCACGTTGTGTCCCGTTTTTTTATAAAAACAATATTTGTTCCGGATTTAAACCTTTTGTCCTGGACTATCCCTAAATTTCGAAAAGTATAGAAAAATTTCAAAGAAAATTGAACAGAATTTTATAGAAAGAATAATAAAGTTTTCACTAAAAGTAGTGTTTTTCAGTTTAAAAAATGATTCGTTTAGATTTTTATTATATTTGTTATTTCAAAAACATATCTAACCATACCACCCCCATCCTGGGTTAACACAACAAAAAATTACAGTCCCAGTTTTAACGCTAAAAAATATGGTCACCTTAAATGTATCCAATTTATGACAGCCATAGCATCCATAATACGTAGTTTTTAATTATTAATTCAAATTAAGAGTGCAGTTTCTCGAGAAAATGATCTTACTATTTTCACTTTTTGTATAATTTTTAAATACACAATCAAATTATGTCTGTTTTGTTATGTCTTCAATTTTATTCTAAAATAGTAGGCAATAATATAAAATAAATCAAAATTAAAAAATGGAATAAATCAATATAATGTAAGAAATAATCAACATAATCAAATCGTGACAACTGCATTGAGTAAAAATTAAACCTACATTATTTCTCACCAAGTAATCAATCATTCAATTACCTCCTCTCGCCAGCCTTTTAGTGTGGTGAAAAGTCCTTCAAGTTTCATCATCCGCAATACAGAATCCATAACTTCTGTGCGCTCTCTATAATTTCTAAAGGTTGATTTTAACTGAATGCAAGAATTTTGCATAATGAAGACATTGTCATATTTTATCAAAACTTGCGCAACGTCTGGACGTACAAGGCCTACTTGGACGCCTTCCACAATAAAAGGATAACAATCACCTTTAGTAATTCCTAAATTAATTACAATTACTATAGAAATGACAGTATCTTCCAGCAAAAGTATTATCAGTAAAATAATGTAAAAAATATCATAAAAATAGTTAAGTTTCGTATTTTGAGATGATCTTACCGTTTAAGTAGAAACAATTGAATTTCTGAGCCAATTTTAATAATCTAGAAACATTTCCTTCGACTGCAGCCATTTTATAAAATTCACGGGAATATCAAGATTTAGTCATTTACACTTCATAAAATAGTTAAAATTACAGATTTATACACAAACGCCGTTCTTTACTGTATTAAAAATAAAATACGTGAGCATATAAAATTCAATATTCACAAGTTGTGAACACCGGCAAAAACAAAATGCGCATAGATTGACTTGACACAAACACTGTCTACATTTGAGATGAGATCCATAGATGGCCAAAAAGCACAGTGTAGCGACCTGGCAACACACATCGCACCTCAACTTGTCAGTTAAACCATAGATAAATAAATATTATCTTCAAGTTGGCGGATTATGTTGGCAACACTGCGCGAGGACCAAAGTGCTTCAGGATTCGGAACGCTCTCTTCTGTCCCTAGACAATATAATATAATATGCTGTCTGCTGCAGTGCTGCCGAACAGTCAACATCATAAATTACAATACTTTTCCTTTCATTTTCAATACTCAAATATTATGTACATTTTATAAATAATAAATATAATCACACATAGCGTTGTTACTATTTCATTAAAAATAAAATACATTTAATATAGAAGCATTTGTATTCACTTATCTTTTACTTGAATTTAGAAATTCCAATTTTTGTATCAAAAATTTCACGTTTTCTATAATTTACACGTGATATAGCTTGGGGGGAGGGGGATCATTTTTAATGAAAAATCCTTACAAATGAATCTCGTGATTAATGGACGCCTCCCAGACGAGACAATAATAGATTTCCTCCTAAACAATGAAATAAATGTTACTGCTTCTAGGCAATGGACAAGATGAGTAAATAATACTGTCATTTGACGTTGGTATTTATAATTAGTAGTACACACCAGACAATATAATAATACATAGTGTTATTAAGTGGAGTAGTACACCGCAGGTAAATCTGAACCCTTTAGATCGATGATTCTTATCTTCAAAAGTTTATCAAAAAAAAAAAAAAAAGCAAGGAAGTATGCTCAATTTGAATTGTAATGTTTGTAAAGTGTTTGGAATAAATGACACATAATTTGGATCAATAAATATATATTTATTTTGTGAAAAACAAACATTTTTATATGGGGTTTGTCCAGTCATGTTATGCTCCTGATGTAAAAATACACTACAATTTATAATGAATGTAAATCTACGAGAATGAGTACAAATCTACTATAATAATGTTCAGACTAATTATAAATGACACTGATTATCAACTCAAAAAATATAAAGTTTAATTTATAAATAAAAGAGCATTATATGAACACTTATTTATCACAGTGCTTTTTATTCTTGTTAATATTACAAGATTTATTTATTCAAATATCCATCATTTGAAAATATTTCCATGTATCATTTCTTTTTTTTCTTATTGAACTTTGTAAGTTCAATTGCCAACAAAGGATTGTCCTTTTTCGACTAAAAATAAAATACCATTATGATATATAATCTCAATATATTGACAATATTTTCATACCTGATTTTTAGTATTTGATCCTCCAGATTGCCAAGTTCTCTTTTTAGGTTTCTTAGCTATACCAGATAATCTTTTTAAAGATTCTGGTATTATATATTCAGGAACATCTGCCAGATGTGGTTGTACTTTAACAGTATGTAAAGCCTTATCATGTCTTAATATTTGTAAATCACGAGGATTATCTTCAAAGTAACTCTGGCAAAATAGTTTAAAATTAGTTAAAAATTAAATTAGTTTATAACTAATCACATTCAACAACTATTTTATTCATTGAGCTACCTTGAGTTTTTCACAACTGAAAATTTCTTTTTTAATTTCTTTCAACCTTGCTTCCCTTACAGCAATTTTAGTTACAGCTTTCCAAGCATCTTTAGCTCTGTATTGGAAGGCTTGAACTTCCTCTAATTTAAATTGATATGCTCTGAAATAAAACCAATATTGTATATTGAGTGCAAGTACAGAAAAATAATTTAAATTATTAATACTACTATTGCAATAATATTTTTTAGAATTATATACAATGAAAATTTATAATAAAAAACTACTTGATCATTGAATCATCTGTAGTATCAGATTTTAAATGCTCATCCACTTGATTCAAAAGTGCTCGCTCCCTGATACTAACAAAAGATAACACGCTTCCCTAAAAAATAAAAGACAATGTATTATTGATTATATTTGTACAAAATGATGATTATTAAACTACCTCATTGTTTCCTCTTGCCGTTCTACCAGCTCTATGCACATATGAATTTATTGACAATGGAAAATCAAAGTTTATGACATTTGAAACATAATGAAAATCTATTCCACGAGCCACGCCTGATTCTTTATCTTTCTTTCGTTTTGATTTACGATCGCATGGAGTAACATCAGGATTTTCCAAAACATTTTCATCTGAAGCAATAATAATATCATAGATACCCTGCATAATAAAAGTAAATTATTTTCAATCAGATTAGTTACTTTATTTATTGTTATATTAAAAATTAATACAAAAATAATAAAAATACCTGGTTAAATTGATTTACAGAATGGCATCTTATGGCAGATGGTAGCTCAGAGTTTAAAACTGTACTTGGAATAGCAAACTGCTCCAAAAATAATTTCAATCTGTATAAATGTAACACTTCGTAAGTAATTAATTCACGTCAAATCAAAATCTATTATTTTCTGAATGAAATTCAGAGAGAAGATTAGGTAAAAGTCATTCATTGATCATCACAACATGTATGATATCAACTCCCATTCAGTAATTTTTCATCATTGAAGAATTTGAAACATTTCATTGAATATCAAAATTAACAAGGAATATATGATACCAATAATATTCTTTGTAATTATTAGTATTGCAGTTATATGGCAAAGTATTTGTAACAATAATAATACATTAATTATTATCTATCAATATCAGCAAAGTATGGTTATCAAATTTGGTAGTCCATTAAAAAATAACTTACTTATAACATCGATCGACAGTATTTACAAATATGATACTCTTCCCTCGAACTAAATTTAACTTCAAAAGAGAGTATAATATTGCAGCTTTCTCCATCTCTTCAGCAGCTAAATGATAATGTGTCAGTTGAGTACTTGGAGCCATATCAGATTCTTCCAATTTCAAAATAACTGGATTATGTAAGACCAGTTTTTTCAGAGATTGAACATCATCTGATAATGTTGCCGATGCCAAAATAGCTTGATATAATGTAGGCATAAAACTTAGTATTTTTTTCATGTCAGATTCATACCTAAAACAAATATAAAACTCTGCATTAATATCAAATAAAACATATTTTTAGATTATGCATCATTTTTATTAAAACTTTCTAATAATCATTAGAAAGTTCTATAGTTTATAATATATTTATACAAATGATGAATAAAATCTTACCCAAAAGAAAAAATTAAGTCAGCTTCATCTACAACAAGTACTTCTAATCCACTTTTTAGATCCAAGGTACCGGCTTTCAGATGTGCTAATGCTCTTGCAGGAGTTGCAATAACTATATCAGGTTTTGAATTAATTAGAGGCTTTTGAGCCAAGGTATCTGTATTTGTGGATATATCAATGCATTTAACTTCTTGTGAACACTTGCAAGTCAAAGAAACTATAACTGCGTGTATCTGCACAAATTAAAAGATATATTCATAGGGCCTAAGCATAGAAAGTGACGAATACATGCATTTATTTGTAATAAAAAATACATTACTTGAGAACATAATTCCTTGCTGGGAGCCAATAATAAAACTTTGACTGCTTGTTCTGCCATTGTATGCTTTGAATTCAAAATTTTTTGTATAACAGGTATAACAAATGCAGCAGTTTTACCTGAACCTGTTCGAGCTCGTAGGAGAACATCTTTACCTTCAATAAGTAAAGGAATAGCTTTTTCTTGTATTAAAGTTGGTGTTATCCAACCAAGTCTAGCAATAGCCTTGAAAAATATATATATTTAGAAGCTAGCCAAAATATTAAGATGTAAACATACAAAAAATGTACTGAGCATTATTGTCAATAAATTCAGTACTCAATCAAATCTCCTACATCATTCTGCATTTATGTATTTCGCAGTTGAAAGGAAATGCTCCGTACGTTCTGGATGTTCACGAAATAGTAAAGTATTTTCAAACATGCTTAAACACTTCAATTATGCTAAACTAATTACCGTACTTTCAAGATCCTGTCATCGAGCTCCATTTCATGAAACTTGCACGATTCACTTTCTTCGTCACTCATCTTTATGCAGGTACAATAAAGCAATAGCAAAATTAACTAAAACTCTTTTCTTAGCAAACGACCCTCAAAACACGTTCTAACAACACGTGCATGCTTCTTTCAACTCCCAAACAACATAACCTTAACGAAAAGGGATCATACTCTATGTTGAGGAAACGTCAAACCAAGTTCACAGGGTTGAATATCTTGGTATCGATATAGAAAAAATCGTCTATCAAACCTGAACTTATCGATATTTGTCATTGACCTAAAAGCTTGCATCACATCATAGATAAATATGCTATGGTTTTACTGGAAGACCTCTTAAACTCTGTCCCCTAGACAATATAATAAGTGTCTTCACTTTTATTGTCCCCAATCTATCAAGATACGGTAGATAAACTTTTGAGTCAAAACATATCATTTAATAGTTTTATAATATTAATTATCAAATATGTGTGCTTATAACCCTAGACAATTTATAATATACAACCACTAGTTTACTAGTTCGGAACAATAAATTGTAACAATTCGCCGTTGAGCAGCACCTAAATCGTGCAAAATGACAGTTTTATACCACCGCTCCGTATAATGTCCTAATTATTGCGTTATGGGATTGACTCACACATCGATAATTTTAACATATGTAGCGATATGCGATAATGCGATATACATTTCAAGAGATCTGTCATGAACCTGTTGCTATCGTTTGTTTGATTTGATATTTTTAAGTTTTTAGATGATTTTCAGTAATAATTAATATTAAACAGTAACACGCTACAAAATCGCATATGATATATCAATATATTTCCTCCACATTCCTAATATCCATAAAATTGTGAATGCAACAAGTGCTCACATTTATACAGTTGTGGGCTACTTTCGATTTAGATAAATTAATTATAAAACACTACGGATATATTGTACTAGATGATGGACAAATTGCGTCGAGCTTTGAGCGGCAATGAACAGACCGATGAGGAAAGTGGAATAATCACACAAGTAATAAATAATTATATGTTTATTTTTTCAAAAATACGACTGTACTACATTAAAACTTTTGTTTCACAGATATCTGATGCATCTACATTAAGTTGGTCTACCCGATTAAAGGGATTCATATTTTGTTTTGTTATTGGAGTTCTGCTTTCCTTTTTAGGCTCGTTTGCTCTATTTTTGTCAAAAGATTTAACTGTTTTTGCAGTATTTTACACTATTGGAAATATTGTGTCTCTTACTAGGTAAATATGGTATAACATTAGTTTTGTAGTTTTTAATGTATATCATACTTATATATGTATTTGATTATAGTACATGTTTTCTAATGGGACCAGTCAATCAAATTAAGAAAATGTTTGCACCCACAAGAATTGTGGCAACTGTCATTGTTGCTGTATCATTTGCTATAACTTTGTTTGCTGCAATTGGGGTAATTGCTTTTATTTATAAACACCAATATATTATTATTATTTTAATTCAATTTTCTACAAAAAATTAAAACTTCTTAGTCTATAGATTTCATCAAATATAAATTATATAGATATGTTCTCTAAGCATGTTTTTTTTCAGTTGAAGAATCCGGGTTTGGCACTGCTTTTCATCATAATACAGTCATTAGCGATGACATGGTATTCTTTATCATATATACCCTATGCTAGGGATGCTGTTAAGAAAACTGTCTCTAGTTGTATAACATAGTCTGCTTAGCAGTACGCTTCAAAATTATATGTAAATGTAAATTTTAGATTAGTTTAATTTAAATTTTAAAATTTAAAGTTATTTTAATATATAAATGTATAGTATTCCAAATGATTTCTGACTATTATTAAACTATTGATATTGTGGAGATATTCATTGCGACAGTCAAGTTTGAATACCCAAATTTCATCGTAATATTTTTAATTATAATTTGCATATTACCTAATAGTTTAAATAAGTCTATTCAAATCTATTACGTTACTGCTGTATCAAATACAAAAATTAAAACTAGCTGTACTGGGTAAAATAATTAAAAACAATAAATGTACTTAGCATTTTTTTTAAATAATTGGGTAAACTATTGTAAAATGATCTGACATTACAGCATTTCTGTAAGTTATGTTAATTTGACTGTATTTGTATGTTTGTAATGTGTTTCGAAGGAATACATTGTATTAAATGTAACTGTAAAATTATGTATGAATTAACAATATATTCAATGTATCTTGTGAAAGTGTCAATTGATTGTGTGATATTTAATAATTAACAATACTAAAAACAATATTAAAATGTTCACACTTATATATTATTAAATTATATGGTGCTTATAGCTAAAATGGCCAATATTTTACATGTTTATGAAAAAATAAATTTATTCTAAATATATTGTCTTTTTTATTAGCAGAAAAATAAAACAATAAATATAAGCAAGAAACTAATAACAATGGAGCATAAAATTATTAGATAATAAATATAATATAACTAATATAAAGATTCTCAATGCTGTAATTTAGAGCTACATGATCTCAAATCCTACGTGATGAAAATGCTCAAGTCAGTGGCACATGTAACATTTTATTGTCATGAAAAGGGGCAAAAAATGTTAATCATACTACTTGATAATGCAACGTTTCCAATAGTTAGTAATTGAAATCAATAGCGTTTTCTTAAGTAATAAGTGCCCCTGCATTAATCATAATCAACTAATGTTTTATTTTTTGAATCTATACACTTAATATGGTAGCTATTATAATCCAATTCTTAATAATGAAATTAGTACCATCCCTAATACATTTCTAAACATACTACTAAACTTTATTTTGTTAGCTCGTACGACTAGTTTTAGAATCATACCTTAATAATCAATGAAATGAATAATACTCTGTAACTTTATTAATTTAAACTGTTGGTGTGATTGGTCCAGAACTGGCCTGTTTAATTTGGAACCATGTAGTTTCTTTGTATAAGAACCACAAATCGGAAGCCCACAGAAAAAAGTTTAAAAATCCAAGAATCTGTAATTAAAAATCAACGCAATGTCATGTCAAAACAATGTCATAATTCAGCAGAAAAAGAATATTATCTCAAGTTGAAAGCAAAAGACTTCTCGAAAATACTTTAATTACAATAATAATAGGTCATCAGTATATGAAGTCAGTATAGAAAGTCTAAATATAAAAATACATATAATAATATTTTACCAAAAATAAACCTCGTTATAATTTTGATTCTAAAAAAAAATCTAATGGGTGGTGTTATAAAATTTAATGTTAATCATTGCAAGTTTATAACTTTTTCACAACATTTTGAAATAGTTTACCTTGTAAGACCTAATTTTACCTCGTTACAAATAAATTAAATGAAAAAAATCGTAGTAGTAGTAATTATCAAAATATATATATATATATATATATATATATATATATATATAATACTAACCACAGAAATATTTAATGTTGAAAAACTTGGCATCTCAACAACAGAACATGAATCCGGTAAAATCACTAGAGTTTTCAAGCCATTTAGTCCATTAGCCCAAGCTGCACTTCCTGATAACCAAAATACTGCTAAAATCACAGTGAGTGAGAAATCCTAGAATAATCACAAATATAAATAAATAATAAATCAAAAATTGTTCAAATATATAAAATCTTTCTTACTATCAATGGAATTTGGGTATTCTTCTTGTACAGTTCATCACACCCCACATAAAAAATTACAATAAAAATACAATATAAAAATGACAACACTCCAGTTGCAACAAAAAATTGAGCATCAGACGATAAATCACCACTAGAGCCTTCTGTGGGAGAATCAGATACAGGAAGAGATATCCGAAATGGATATTCTATTTTTGCATCATATGCTTTACTTTGGCACATGTATTTGTACATGCTGCTATATCCAGATATTGTAGCAAAAGCGCATATTGAAAAAATCTACAAAAAAAATTAGATACACAATTTGCAAACCAATGCAGGGACTGCACACTTACAAATTGAATAATTCTCATCACTCCTCGAGGCTCTTGAAATACTGTTAGATTGTAGTTCATTTTGAATATCTGAATGACAATTCAATGAAAATCAATACGATTTAGAGTAACCAAAAAGCTTATCAGAGCATCTCACCTTTATTATCCGCGCTTTATTAAGAACGAGGTACTTGATACAATACTAATAATTAGGATACACTAAATTATATATAGACAAATGATTGTACACATGTATCGACATATAAATACAGATACAGAGAAATAGCATAGAACGTCTTGTTAAGTGACATTAAATGTAAACATGCTCATCAATCGAACAAAGTGGAAACATAGAAAAACTAAAACTAATGAATTTCTCACGACACGCCTAGAAATGACGTTTTGAATTTGATATCTATGGCTACTGGAATCAATAACGCGCCTTTGGCAGGTTTGGTATTTTGATATGTGAAGCAGTTGTTTGATTGTGTTTGATAACCGAAATCAAAGAGCGTACAAGTAAATTAGGCCATAGCTAATATATAATGGGTATATAGATAAGAAACGTATAAATATATATGACTAGGACCAGAAAGACTCGATTGCCCAACGCACTCGATCGCACGGACTACTTTGAACGGCACACAATTCAAAACTCGTACATGTGTTGTTAGCGTGTTTGTGTTTATAAATATATACATTATACATACTTGGAGACGTACAACTGCAATTAATTGAAGTTGAATTATATTAAGAGATCATGGCCACAAAATTTGAAATAGTTCATACAATTGTTTCAAAATCGCAAAACTTGAATTTGTATTTATTACTTTACTTGAATTATTGAAGTAAAACTTCTTTAGCGACTTTTGCGACTACGGTGTAAACCGTACAAATGCAACGGAAATTGCGTTACGATTTTACGCCATTCGCTCTCGATGAAATCATTTCAATACGGGTCGGATTGTGATTAGTCGTCGTGTATGTGAATAGAGATCTGTCGTTGTATTCGTACCGGCATCAACGTTGTATGCGTACCGATATCAACAAGTAAATCGGCATGGATAAATAAACATTTTAAAGTTACATCGAAGTACAAATCTTGATTTAATGACAAATGCCCGAATCAGAAGATTATTTTACCCTGTTCCTTGAAAATAATAAAACAAATTGAACATTTGTGCCATGTAGTGAACGTAAGTTTATTGATTAGAAATTATTTCTATATTATTCATAGTTTCTATAAATCTTTGAAGTTATTAAAATGGAAAATATTTTTTAGACAAGACAGATATTACAGCTGTTTAAAGAATGAGATTATATCGCCAGCTAAAAAGTAATAAAGATACCAGCAGTCAATGAATGTATGTTAATTTTAATTACATGAAGCTCTCTTCAAACACAATTACATGATGAGTGAAATTGTGAAAACAATATTTTTTTAGGCATTGTTTAACATAATCCAATGTGTGAACGAATTTTATAGAATTCAGAAAAATCAGAAATTATTTCATTTCTCGAATGAAGATTCATTTCTAAATGCTAATTACAATGACAAACCGAGATCATGTTATATTTGAAGTATGGCTTTAATAACATTATTGTTTTTAAATATTATACATATTTTTAATGCTATTATAAATATATAATTTATAATTTATCACTATATATATAATGTGTATAATGATTGACACTAATAAATGTGTGCATCACGAGCGTTACCATATTACTTGTTATTAATAATTGTTATATGATGTGTTTATTTTTACTGTCTTGTACCGAAGCAAATAAGTTTCACTTCAATCGTGCGTGAACCTTACGTGCACTCTTTTATTTATTTATTATTATTTACCCAAAGTATACTGTAAATAATTTGTCCTACTTGTAGTTAGATCCTCTCATAAAGAATAATCATGTTATATTTTATTTACATTCATTGGTATATATTTATATACATGGAAAACCCCTATATTGTTCATAAATAAACTAATAGTAAAAAAAATCTTATTCATTTAACTCTTTCCTTTCGGGTTCCTCCCACTCACTTGCTCTAAGACACTCGCATTTTTCTGTGGCTCGCCAAGCATTTTTAAAATAGAATTTTCTACATTTCATCAACTTTTTTTCCATCAATGAATTCATTACAATGTGTTCTTTCCTTGTTGCTTTGTTGATTTATGAAATTTTATTTTTAAATATAGTGTTTTTATATTAATTATGTTTGTTAGTATATATCAAGTTTTGCGAATTATTCTTTTGTGTTAGTACTTCCGTACCACTTATCATCAATGTTTTTTTAATAGTTTCAAATAATTATAGACATTCTTGAATATCTTTTATGATACAAATGCGCGAAACTATTGGAAAATGAAATGTGTCTTTGAATGTTCTTTCAGGGAGCTATTTCATATACTGAACAGTATTTAAAATCATATTTATAAAAATTATTTATTAGCATATATACAAATTATAAATAGGTTTTGATAAAAATTTTAATAATTAAAGTTAAAAATAAAACATTACTCTACAAAATAATTTAGATTTTTTTGCTAAAATTATCACATATTAATATTGGTATTAACTAATCTTAATATATTCAATATACAAAAATCTATGAACCATAATCAACTCTAAAAACATAGCAAACTCTCATTCAATTTCCACAATAAAAATATTTACAATTTATTCCCACCACTCATCATAACTAATAACATTAATCTTTAAATATTGTTCAGACTACAGATTCATTTAAAAATATTTCACATTACCTATTCAATTAATTATTGAGAACTCACATTCCTGTACCTGGCATGCCGCTGGAAATGTTTGTTTGACCAGTCATTGAATTTGTTATGGATCCAGTACCACCTTGCGGAACATTCATGCCTCGTTGTTGCATTTGCTGTAATTGTGCTTGCAACTGTTTTCTCTGCTCTTGCTGTTTAAAAATAAAATAAAGTTTGCTACTATTACATATATATATATATATATATATATATATATATATATATATATATATACCCATAGGATTGACAACTTACGCAAAGAGAAAATACAGGGAACTACTGAAAACCGAAGCACAGGATCAAGAAGCATGGAAGCAGAAGTTCGGAAAGAAAGGTACATGAAAAAAAAGTGGAGGTGGAATATTATTAAAGGGGAGAGGAGTGGTAATGGGAATGATAGACAAAGGGTAAGGAAATCATTTATTTGTGGTGGCTCTCACACCATGTACCTTCAGGCAGACTACCATTTATTATTATTATTATATAAGTTACGGACTTACATCAATCTGTTGTTTATATTGAGCTTCCTTGTGCTGTGCAGTTTGAAGACTTTCTTGAATTTGTTGTACATGGCTATATATTTCCAATTGACTTTTATATTGCGCTTCTGCTTGTTGAGCAGCTTCCAAGGTTTGTTTTAACTACCAAGCATAATAATAAATTATGCATATGAATATATGAATATATATATATATATATATATATATATATATATATATATATATTATAGAATTTTGTGATATGAGTGGAACAAATATTAAATGTTAAATATGAATAATGCAATGCATATATATTGTATGAAAATGGAACTAAGGGTAACCTTTTCTATGAAAATTCTTACATATTTATTTAGTTTTAATTTTTACAGTTAAATTGATTGCCACCGAATGAAGGCTAAGATGCTAGCCAAAACGTATGGATTTTAAATAAATTTCTAAGAACTCCCATACTATTTTTATTGATGTAACACCCGACTTTTTAACTCAAATTAATTATATATATATATATATATATATATATATATATATATGATCTAAAAAAAAAAATATTTAAATTTCTTCTAGCTGAATGATGAGACATATCTCCTCTCAAAACGTACAAATTTAAAATAAATATTTCTTTTTTCGGAGTGTGGGCTCTTTTATTCATTTCAATATGATTCAATGTTGAACAAAGAATCCTCAATATATATATATATATATATATATATATATATATATAATATATACACTTTGTTCTAAATGCAATCGGTCCTATATATTAAAAACATTTGAAAAATTATTTTTCAATGAATTATTAGTCACCTGCAGAATTTTTTCTAAATTTTGTTGCCTTGCTGCTTCTATGTGATCAAATGGAGGTCTCTGAGATGGTCCGCCCATCATATTTTGTGCGCCTCTAATATTATTTTGGTTTTGACCACTCATGTTATTCGCCCCTGGTTGCTGTAAATTTAAAATCAAATATAACTTATTTTGAAACAATAATTGAACAAAACATATTTTGAAATAACTACCATTAATCCAATACGTGGACCATTATTAACATTTGTTGTGGAAGTTGGAACAACATTTTGCGTTATTTGTCCACCCCCCATTGTCATAGTATTTGTCTGAGACAACATAATACCACTCTAAAAAATTGATTTGTTTAATTATCAATCAAAAATCAAAAAAATTATCTTTGTTGCTAAAAACCTGTGAATTTGGTTGTGAAGATGTTGCTTGTCTGTTTCCCGAACTATTCATTGTAGCACTACCTAACTGACCAGGTGAAGGGACACCTGGAGTAGAACTCATATTACCCTGTGAGCCTGGGGGTGCCTAGTATCATTTTTAGTATAGATGGTTATCGACAAAATATCACTCTGTGTAAACAATATATCCTACCTGGCCTTGCCTCATTAATACCTGAGATTGTTTTTGCTGTTGTATTACTCTTCGCAATCTGTCAACAAAAGCATTTTGATTATTTGGAATAAATCCTAAGTAGGCTTTTTTTTCTGCTGTGTACAATAATATAAGCACTTTAATATCACACACTCCAGGTGCCATAGCAGTAAAATGAACACATCCTGCCTGTGAAATTTAATTACTCATTTAGTAAAAGCCAATAAAATAATCAATAAGAAATAATAATTGATTGACTTACAAAGCCAGAACTCATAACTTTAGTCAATGATTCCAGAGCATCACAGGCTTGTGGGTGAAATAATACTGATTTAGAGTCCTTTAAATATTGTCCTCCAATATTGCTAATTAATTGTTTTGGCATCAACTGCATTATTAATTTAGGAGGCCATGATTCAGCTTTCCTATAAAAAAAATCCATCTTTTATTAAGATGCAAAGGATGTATATATATATATATATATATGCTATTTCCATGCAAAGTTTGATTGAATTGCGCACTATCTAAAAGTTAATATTAGGAGCTAAAACTGTCAGAAAATTGTTTTTTATCAATTTGGAACCATTTGAGAACCTTGGGAGCAAAGAAATTCAAAAATGTTTATATTAAGGCCCACCCTATTCGAAAATGTCCATATTAAGGACCACCCTAATATATATAATATATAACAAGTACATATATATAATACATATATATATATAACAAGTATTCATTATAATCATATACAATTCTGGTTCGCCATCCTTGGAATTAGCAGAAACTGTGCAAGGTACATGTTTAGTATGTTTCTGCTGATCACTTGGAGTCTTGGCTTTTTCAATCCATTCAAGAAGACCATGCCAAATTGTGTGTCTTTCTCTAATTGAATTTTGAACTGCATTTGGTTGAGATAAAGTTTGTTGCTGCGATGGAGTATTTATATTACCAGCAGCTGAAAAAAAACAATGTTATAAAACACGAGTACAAAGTTTTACAAAAAAATTTACTTTTAAAATTGGTAAAGAGTAAAATATAACATATTGTCATTACTAAAGTAATTGGCCTTTTTATGCCTTATTGTTTTAGGTATATTACCTAACACATACAGAAGAATAAAACTAAACAAAGTTAACAGAATGAGGGTACTTATTTATGTAATTTAAATTATTTACCTGTGCCCTGAAAATTTTGCATCATATTTCCTTGCGTGCCACCACATTGAATTGTGTGAGAAGGCGTTGTCAGTTGACTAATTAGAGCACTATTTTGTCCCAATGCTTGATTATTCATATATGGTGGTCTCTAATAATATTCAATATATATATATATATTGTAAAAACAATAATATTTTAGATGCTATTTACTATTATTACTACTACTACTATTAGATAATAATTAAATCACATTTAATTTAGACAAATACAATTGATGCATCAAATACCTCACTTCGCACCATTTTTGTTACTAAGTTTTTGAAGTTGTGTTGCTGATTGTGTTTTTGAAGATTGTTTCAGGTTTGAGCTTTTCATTTTATATTTTTCTTTGAAATTAGAGTAGACTGGAGAAATTAATTGTTAATCTCCCACAAACCAAAACTACTCTAATGAAGAACTACTATTGCAATTTGGCTAATAAGAATTAAGCCATAATAATAAATCTTCAAAAAATAAAATTTTACCTTAAAACAAATATCAAAAATGATGTGTTTGATTTTAGTTAGATAGTTAGGCAAAGTTATGGAAGTGTTTTTTTTTTTAAAAAAAAAGAAGTGCTGATAGCACGGAAGTAGTTTTGAAATGCTCCAGGCAAATAACAATTGCTATAAAGAAATTTATTAATGTTGACAAAAATGTTGTCCAGCAGACATTGAGCTAATTTTTTGTAAAATAGAGCCAACTTACTTTTTACAAAATAGTTGTAACAATGTAACCTAGCTTTAATTTTTACATGGACATCTATACACAATTATATTCTAGGAATATAATGGTGTATACATCTAGGAATGTAACTCCAAATTAAAGTAAGGTATGGGCGTATTTAAAATAAATATAAAACTTTAGTAGTTTTATAATTAAAATAAATATATAATATTACAAAGTTTATTATATTACTTGTTGTGGAGGCATCATCCATGCTCTGGGGTTCGGACCTCTTTGCATTGGATTAGATGACAGATAAGATGAACCACACATTTGAGACTGATTTGGAAATTGCCCATTGATATGATTCACTTGACGAATTTGATTTAAATTATTGCCGATCATAGGTGTATTTGATGGCATACCTACAAACAAAAATATAATAATAAAACAATATAATATTGTATATATTTCGAATCTGCCATAATAGAATAATCATGAAAAATTGATGTTAGTTACTGAATTAGTGATGAGTTAAATATGAACTGAACTTACCAGAATTTTGATTTGGTCTAAATTGGCCGGATGTAGTAGAATTCATAGGTACTATTGGTTGTACACTACTTGGTTTTGGACTATCAATAGTAGAAAGTGGTGAGAGCAATGTGGGATTCATATTTATAGTGGTCTGGTGAATATTTTCGTTTATAGGCCTTTCTTTCAAACTGCACAAAAAAAAAAATATTGAAAATTATGTTAATAAACAATAAAAAAAACAGTATATAATAAAATATGAATAAATTGCAAACTGACCTATAACCCTTTAGTAATACTAAATGACGAGGATCTTTAGCATAATTTTTTGTCTGTAAGGTCGATAAATCTCCACCAGCTTTTTCAAATATTTTCAATAATGTTACTAATTTACGAGGTGATATAATAGACAAATGTATACTTTTCTGAAAAGAAATAAAATTGTCAATGATAGCAGTAACAATAATATAATATCATTGAATGCTATAAAAAAAGAAAATTATAGTAGTTTTAAAACAAAAAGATCTATGGACATAGTTAAATTTAAAATCATACCTCTTGTAATATTATTGCCAACTGATCAACAGTTTTGTTAGCATAGCTATAGCATTCCGTAACTGGAACTAAATACGGTGGAGAATTACATATCAAAATGCAGTGTTTTTGGGCTAAAGTATTGTTATCTCTTTTTAATTGTAATTCTTCAAAGCACATCAAAGCAGTAGCTAAACCCTCGGCTATATGGGCACAAGACTCTCCTTTGCCTCCAATTAACCTTCATAAAATCATAACCAAGTAAGAAAGATACTATTCTTAAAAATATTGCTAAGTCTGCCCTTTCTAAAAACACAATTTAATACAACAGTAATTTAATGAAACAATTAAAAATAAAAAAAAACTATAATATAAACAAAAAATTTAGTTTCCATTCTTCCTAAAATAAATAATATCAATATTATATAATGAAGGAAAATGTAGTAGCTATACAAAAAATGAAATTTTGGTTTATTATTGAAAAAATAAAACAAATATTGAACATTTAACAACAAAAACAATATTTATCCCATATTTTATAATTTTGTGGTTACTGTTAAAGTGACCATACGTCCCGGATTTCCACCTTGTGTGCCGGGTTTTTCTAAAAGCAATACTTATCCCAGATTTAGATCTTTTCAAAAATTAGTGTGTAAATTATCAAAAATTATAAAAACAAAAAATTACTATTTATTTCAAATTAATTATGAAGAAAATTTTATACAAAACTCAAAAGCAAAAATAAAACATATGGATCAAAAAATATAAGATGTAATATCATAGATAAAAAAGTATACTCTACATAGTAGTATAGACTAAAAGTCCACAATTCTGATTTAAAAAAAATTGATTCATATAAAATTGTTTTTTTTATTACATCCTTAAATAGCATTTGTTATTTCAAAGCACCTCCCGCCCCCCGTTCTGGTTTAGCATTAACTAAAAATTACTGTCCCGGTTTTGACTTAAAAAAATATGGTCACCTTATTACTGTTATTCTAAAGTTATTGGCAATTCAAATTATAACAAATTACTGAATTTTGGACTATGAAATAACATGAGATATGACTATGTATAATTCTAAATATAGTATGTATATATAATCCTAAAATATAATCCTAAAATATAATTCCATAAAAATAATATAACCAAATAATATCAATACACATCTTATATTTGTTGTCTGAATTAAGTAAAATATTATAACAAAATCTATATTATGTTTAATAACAAATTATCTATATAGTCCAGTCATTCAAGCTTAAATTAGGTAAGATTCTCGGAATTTGAGATACCCGGCTGTAAGTCTGTAAATATTTGTATATTGACACCTAAAAGTTGTCTCAAAACCTACATGTGGTAGGACAACTTTTAGGTGTCAATGTACAAATATTTACAGACTTAAAGCTGGGTATCTCGAATTCCGAGGTGAACTTACTATAATGACTGGACTAATAATATATTTAATAACAAAAACTAATACTTACTCTAATTTATCTAAAGTATGTAACATTTTTTGAGGATTTGAAAATGGCCCATAAGTTTGGCAGTTGGGAAAAGGCATACAATCTGATGCTTGGTATAAGACAATCCCATACAATGTATTTGTACCTTCAGGAACATAATCAATTTCTTCTAATCCCGGACTAAAATAGCTGCAAACAAATCAATGTTTATTATCTAATTTGCACTCTCCATATTGATAAACAAAAATTATCGGAACTATTAATCAGTAATGAAAAATTAAATCAATGTACAGCAAGGTTACACCTCCAAAAAATTCGAGGTACCTCAAACCGATTTCAAATATCCGTTCAAAAGTCATCATTTAAGTAATAAATTTAATATTAATTAATTATCAAATATATAGTTTACTTACTCCATAGTAGGAATTATATAGTTATTTCGTAAATCATTAAAGTATCCTCCATTGAATGCTGTGCCCTCTATAACAAATATAACATCTGCCAAAATATCACCTTCTTGGCTGTTCATTATTGAATTACTGTAACCAATCGTCATTTGTAATTGCACTTAACCTAATTTTTACAAGCCGATCCAAACTGACAACTCGCCAAGAAAACTTTAAAAGTTGTGAGGCCAAGAAAATGGCGGACAAGATAAAAGGGACATGACAGACATGTTGCCCGCGTTGAAAATATAAACCGTTATTCTATTGTCTAGGGTCGTCTAGGTCATAGATAAAAGAAGAGTATATAGATCGCTCTCTCGGGCCATATTTCGTTGCCACATTCCTGTGTTAGTTGAAGCCCCGCGCTACAGATGGCACTAGTCGCCTGAACGGGTGCGTATAAAAAATACTATAGAAATGAACCAAAATTATATGGACCGTTTTAATTCAAAATTTAAAAAAAGAAAAATTGAAAAAAAAAAAATTTTGAAGCATTTATTTTTCACAAAAACATTCTACATTATATCTACATAGTTCTCTTTATAAACAAAGCACACATAGCATAAAAATGTACATAAATATACACATTATCCACAATGTATATATATATATATATATATATATATATATATATATATATATAACATTATATATGATTATAATAGATGGTAGTAAGCTGTAAAAACTATGTGCGAAAAGCATAAAAATGTACTTAAATGTACACGCTATCCACAATGTATATATATATATATACAAATATATATATATATATATATATATATATATACATATATATATATACATATATATATATATATATATATATATTTTGTATGATTCTGAATTTGATGTTGACATATGTATTAACAAAGTCTAATAATGTTAATATTATTGATGTTATGCCCGATTATTAGACTTTGTTAATATATATATATATATATATATATATATATATGTGTGTGTAATATCATTTTAGCATATCAGCCTTTCAAGCTGAGCACAAAAAGAATAGAAATGTACATGAATGTATATATTATTTATATATATACATATACATATATAACCACAATTCTTTGATTGATATTGATTCAGATCAATATATAACCAATATATATATATATATATATATATATTTACATATATATTTATTTTGATTAACATTAAGTTACATAATATCTATGATGTACAGTCTCTATTTGGGAATCTTTTCTGCGCTATTGTTAATGTGCATTCAAATGTTTGTTCAAAATGTCATTATTATCATTGTCTTAAAGAAAAACAACAATCATTGATATTATTATAACAGTACTTAATAGTTTTCTTATAGCATCTACAATAAGACATTTTAGAGTAAAGCTATTGACATCTCTTTCAGAATAGTCAAATGCAATAAGCAAGTGCACATTAAGGATGTTTTATCCCTTTGCTTTTTAGAATTTTATCATTAATCATGATTATACTTTGCCTGTCATTTGACAGTTCCTGAAAATCTATACAATGTGATTCCCTTTATCATCATTAAACAACACAGATAATAATATTTCTTGTAATATCAAAATGAAATTATTAATACTTAAAAACTTTTCCTGTGACATAGCCAAACCTAAATTAACCTTTGCACTAGCTAGAATTTCACCATTTATTGAGAATTTCCTTTCACTTACGATTATATCATTAGTGTTTTTAGTATGTTCTCCAAACTGACTTAATATATAATTACGAGTTGTACTGTTCAATATTAGTGGGAGATCAGCAAAGATTTCAGCACATTTCAGACTTCATTCTTATTGTTTTTTCCTGTGTATTCATTCATCTCATATCAATACTTGTACACTTGTGAATGTGTTTAGTAAACCGTCTAAACATTTTACATTTGAACGTATTTTCCTTTTATACTGCTGAAAAAATCGATGTAGAATTATTAGTTATGATCCTACATTATTAGAACAAGATTAATTTATATTTAGTTATTTAATAACATACCTTTCAGAGAGCTGACAGGAATTCTCTCTGTCTATTTATAACCTTAAAATTTCTAGTATTGATATAGTTAAATGTCTCAATTATTTCTGAATTATTAAACTGTAATGAAAAATCATATCAGAATAGTACAATCAAATGAAAGTAATTCGAAGTATGCATATTAATAAAAGTACTCACTTAGATTGAAAGCCGGCAAATATTATTACTTATTTTACTTTTACTTCGTCGTTTCTCGCTGGAACTACATAATACATGCATTTTTCTTGGTATTTCTTCTTCGTTAAACAATGCACTTCGACAGCTTATTTGTTTTTTACTCTAACAAGCATTTATTATATTGTCTAGGTTATCTCTCCATGAAAAATTTATTACAATGGACGCCATGTTTAATTTAAGTATCTGTCATATGTCAAATTCGATTTCAAAGTGAAAAAAAAAAAAAAAAAAAAAAACAAGCGCGACCGGCGGCAGGGGCTCTAACTAAACTCGGGTTACAGACGTTTGTTCCGAGATTACCGGCCATGGTCTAGGTCATGTCTAGGATACAGTCATAGATAAATAAACATAGGGCTCATAGATAAACATAATATATGGCTAGAGTATTGCATTGGCTTAGGATAATTCGGCTAGAGCTAGAGCGATTGTTTAATCTTGAAATCTAACTAGTGGTGTATGGCATCGTGCCTTAACGCAAATTGTAGGAACTTTCCGTACCAAAAATTTAATTTTTTAAAACAGATTAAATTTTTTTAAACTTTGAAAAATAAAAGATTTTTGTGAAATTTTAAATTTTTGAAAAAAAAAATTGTCTTTTTTGGAAAAAAACTTTTAGAAAAAAATGTTTCTGTTTTATTTTGGAATATTTTGGAAATTTTGAAATTTTTCCAAAGCAAACGCACTGCTTTAGCTGCATAGAGACGCAATATCAAAGCGCGTAGGCGCCGCGTCGTCGTACATAGAAATGTAAACAAAATTTATACACATTATTAAAATCTCCATAAAGTATCTGATGATTTGAGTGCATATGTCTAATGATCATTTTCGACCGTCAAATGGCATTTTTTTTTACTTTTTTTACTAAATCTCCGAAACCGCTAGACCTGCCTTTCCAAGTGTCAATACAAGTAAAATGTTTTTTGAATTATTAAAATCGGACCCTCCGTTCTCTTAAAAACTGAGTTGCCGTTTTTGGCACTTTTTGCCCCGTATCTTCGAAACGAATAGACTAGACCTGCCTGAATCAGCACGTCTCCTTATCAATAGAAATCGAATGCTTTTTGAATAATTGAAATCGGTTGAACCGTGTTCACGAAATCGTCGACAAAAATTGTATCCGCACACACACACAAAAAACATACACACACACAAAAAACATACACACACAAAAAAAAAACATACATGGTCTGTTCAAAAAGTACCCGGAATTACTAATAATTAAATTTCGCGGGTCTGGAGTGTCTGATTGTCAATTTTCTTTTTTATTGTGTTGGTATACATGCCCCTAAAGTATGATGAAATTTTCAGCTATATTCACTGTTTACTTTGTCTGTGGTAGTCGCTAAGGTTCGACGTGTTTTTCTGAGCTCGGCGATTTTTACAATGGAAGAATTGAAAAAGTCAAAGAATTTGTATTAAATTTTGCGTAAAAAATGAATCAAGTGTTGCAAAGTGCAAAAATTCACCAGATATGGCTCCGTGTGACTTTTTCCTATTCCCAAAGTTGAAGAGACCCATGAAAGGACGGCGGTTTTCCTCGATTGAAGAAAATCGCCGAGAGTGCTCAAGGACATATCAAAAAGTGAATATCAAGGGTGCTTCGAAAATTGGAAAAAACGCTGGCATAAGTGTATTATATCTGGGGGGGACTACTTTGAAGGGGACCACATTAATGTAGACGAATAAATAAATATTTTTTTGAAAAAACGAAAATTACGAAAACTTTTTGAACAGACCTCGTACACACACACATACATCCATTTTTTCTAAGGTATGCCAAAATATTCAGAAACCTCTGAAACGTAAAGATATATAAACATTTTCATTTTCGGTACGTAAGTTCCAGCAATTTGCCTTAAGGCACGATGGTATACACAACTAGTTCTTTTATATTTGTATGCTAATAATTATTAACATTAATTATTAATATAAATGTTAATAATTATGAACAAAATATTAATATTCATAAAGAATATCATATTATCATATTATAATAAGATTTTTAATTTGATTTGATTTTTTATCTATAGATAATTGGTAAATTTTGATTTATTGCTCTTTAATTCTAATTGACAAAATATATAAGGACTAATTAATAGGTTTTAGGAGACATCAGAGTTGAAATAATGTCGAAAATGTAATAAAACTTAATAATTTCGAAATTGTTTACAATGTCTCTGCAGGCGATAGTTCAAAAAATACTTATTCACTCTTTACAGTATAGGCTGATTGAAATATAATAAAAAACATACATTTAAATTAGGGCTTTTTAAACTAAATTTTGTTCATATTTCTATAGGTTTCATACCAATACGCGCTTCGATATTACGTATCTACGCAGCCAACGCAGCCCGATTGCCTTGAAAAAAAAGTAAAAAATTTCCAAAATAAAAAAAAAACAAAATTTTTCAAAAGTGTTTTTTTCAAAAATTTCAAGATTCTCAAAAATCTATTTTTTTTTCAGTTTAAAAAAAATATATGAATCATTTTAAAAATTTTAATTTGTACGGGAAGTTCCAGCAATTTGCCTTAAGACACGATGCCATACACAACTAGTTTTTTTACTTCCCGTAGGGTAAGTTATTGTAATGGGCCGAAAATCGAAATTGAAAATTTTTACATTTCTCGACGTTTTGAAGGTTTCTGAACATTTTGGCATACCTCAGAAAAAATGGATGTGTGTGTATGTATGTATGGATACAAATTTCCAGTCACGTTTTCGGGCGCACGGATCAACCGATTTGGATGGTTCAAAAAACATTCGATTCTTAATGATAGGGAGATGAGCTGATTAGTTTTTGGCAAAGGCAAGTCCAGCAGTTACGGAGATAAAGAGCAAAGAGTGCAGAAAATAGAAATCGAATTTTTGAAAAAACGGAGCATCCGATTTGAATGATCTAAAAAACATTCAATTAGTAATGATTGGAAGAAATGTTTATTAGTTTTTGACAAAGGCAGGCCCAGCCATTTCAAAGATACGGCGCTAAATGTGTAAAAAAAGGCAGTTTTTGAGAGAACTAAGCGTCCAATTTAAATTATTCAGAGTACTTTCTGCTTGTCTTAACAAAATAAATGATTTTGGAAAAAAAATTTTGTTTCAATTTTTTTTTCAAAAAAATTTTTTTTGTATATCGAAAATAATTCAGATTTTATTTTTAATTCTGACTATAGTTCTAATACTTTAAACAAATATTTTCAACTTTGCAATTCAGTTTATATAATTCTTATAAATATTAGACAATGTTACAATAAATAATAATCTATTTGAAAACATTCAGTATTCCTCGAACATTCCGTTACGGTACGGGAAGTTCCAGCAATTTGCCTTAAGGCACGATGCCATACACCCCACTAGTTTTATATTTGTATGAGGTCGTCAAAAAAACTTGCAATCATAAATGAAGTCGTCAAGAAACTTGCAATCATAAATGGGGTCGTGAATGAAAAAAGTTTGAAAAGCCCTGATTTATACGAATGAATCGATGCAGGTTTCAAACCTACTGTATGAAGACAATAGTGTAAAGATGGCACAACAGTTATGAACTTCGAGAGAATCTTCAAAACAAATTCGCCACTCACCGCGTGAGTGAAATCCAAATATAACAGCGTGTGAGCGCATCTACTGAAGCATGCACGCAGTTCACTACAAAGCACTCATCGCGACTGGTTGATGCGTGTTTGTTTCGTCGACTGATGCTCGACAACGCGATGAAATAATTTTGATTTTTCTCTTAAGTTTCTGTAACCGTGTTCAATTTTTCAATTTCAATTATTTTTTAATAATGTCGACAGCAATTAAAGAACAACCATCCTCTAAGGGCGAGGAGGCAGGAGCGGTTTCGCCACCGGACGGGGGAGCCCGCGCATGGATCGTGATGGTCGGTGCATTCCTTTGCAACGGAATACTGTTTGGAGTCATTAACACCTACAGTGTGATTTACATGGACTTAAGAAAGAAATTAGAAGCTCAAGGGGAGACAGACACGTCTAGCAAAGCAGGTATGAATTAACTCGAAAAAGAAACAACAATGAACACTCAACCAATTCAACCAATCACGAACTATGCGGTTTGTTTATTTATCCTGCTGCAACTGACTCAAAATTTGAATATCGTTTACAAAGCTATAACAAAATCACGTTGAAGGTGGTTATTATCTTTTTAACACCTTATTCCGCAAAAATATAATATAATATTAATGTAGAAAATTGTATTAACCCTTTTAAAATACGTATTCATTCTGCAATTCTCGAGTGGAAAGGGTTAAACTGTTATTAACAATTGTAAGAAATTCACTTTCTTTCATATATACATATATAAGAAGATTGTCCTCAACCAGTTTAAGAACAACACATATATCGACACTATGTATTTATGTTTTTAAGTTTAGTATTTTTTGAAATATTGTTTTATTTCAATTTAAATGTTTATGTTACATAGTCCTGATACCATGGATTATTAATATCCTGATTATGATTATTATTGTATTTTCTGTTTTAACACTAAAATTAACAAATTTTTCATCTGAATGAAGGCTGGAATTATAGCCGAAACGTATGGATGTAAAATAAATCCTTAAAAGACATTTATGTTTTTTATTGATGCCCGATTATTAGACTTTGTTAATATCTATGCCAACATCAAACGTGTCAAAACGTACACAATAGTTTTTTATTTATTGGTTTTTATTTCGACTATTTGGCTTAAAATAAAAATTTCATTCTTATTTACATTCATTGACTCAACAGCTAACTAACTCTGGATTTAGTTTTGAAAACAAGAAACGTTTTGCAGAATTGCTAAAACATAAAAAGGACTTTAAAGCTAAGAAAAATAATGTAAAATAGTACCATGAAGTGTATTTTTTAAATTATAAATAGCAGTGTAATACTATTTATTATTTTAATATTATATTTTTGCGGAATAAGGTATTAAAAAGATAATATGCAGTTCATGTAATTTTCGTACATGCATAAAAAATTAAAATGGTTTAAAGCGAAACTTGCAACTTTAGCACAAAAGGAAAGAAAATGTATAAAAAATTAATAAATGAATAATTATTTTTTATTTTTGCATATTTTATATTAATTTGTAGCCTGATAATTGAATTATTATGTCAAATATGAATTGTGAAATTACATTGTTAGAAAAATTAAGGGGCGCGCAAGTTTTTTTTAAAATACAGGGGTGGGGAAGCGCGGGACGAAAAGATTGGGAACCACTGATGAAGATGATGATGTATAAACGGAGCAAAATAAAACCGCGATAATATATAAGTTATCTTACACATAAGATTGCATTCAAATTAATTTAGCCAATTTAATTTAATAATTTAGCTAAATTATCATATAAACAGAATAGAATAAATCAGGTACGACTTCTAATACCTAAAACATTTTTATTTAACAATTAATGACTAAATTAATAACATATAAAATCTAAAACTGATATGAATTATGATGTCACCATTATCTTGAATAAAAACAATCATTTGTTTATTAAGTTCGAAATGAATGAGATATAAATAATCTATTATGCTGTGTGTATGATACAATTTCGCAGTTACGATATCGGTTTTCACAATGGCATCAGCCTAAACAAATAAATATATGTATCAAATATACATAAAATTTCAGTAGATCTTATAATTGATAATCAATTAAACAATGCGGAATTATTTTACATGTGTATGTTGAATAATATCACAATGGTTATTTAGCAAATTATTACGAAACATTAGACCAACGATTTTCATATATGCATTAGACTAACAATTTTTATATATGTATTTTGAATCATTAAAAAATATGTTGTTCGCATTATATATCTTTGAGTGCACTTACTTTATAATAATCTTTTAGGGTAATGGGTAAGATTGAAGTTAGATGTAATTATTATTATTTATTGTCTAACAATATTCCAAATTGTCATGAAGCATAATATCAAAACTAACACCACAAAAGTATTTACAATGAATTTTTTATATTATTTTATATGCAAAATATTTATTCTCTAGAACATCGTTGTTCTATTAGTATAACTTCAGAGAGAAATCGAGCCCTCAATGTACCATATATTACATCAAACCACAATCGTTTGATACCACGTGCTTTATCTAAATGATTTGTTCGTAGAGTCGAGTGACATGTGTAATTATAGAGAAGAGGCTGGTGAACCGATTCTATTAGAGATAGAACAAATATGCTAATAAAATATATTATGTATGCTGAGGTGATATGTAATAGAGCTTTTAAAAATATTATCAAAATTATGTTTTACAAGGAAAAATATTTATAATCATATCACACACTAAGGTAGCTTCGGATGGACTCACTTTTTTGTGTTCTTCAAAAATGATTTTATAGAAAAGTTACTACTTACAGTATTACGTATAAATTATATATATATATATATATATATATATATATATATATATATATAATTGTTACATTTCAATACTATTATCTATCAGTTTTGAGGAAAAAATTGTCCACTTTCCTGAATCAATTTTGAAACTTGAAAAACCATCCGATTGATATTAGTTGGGAATTGTGCTGATAAGTTTTTGGTAAAGATCGACCGAGGCGTTTCTTGTAATCACCTGCTGATTTTTTTTCCGCCGATTTTTATGAAAGTTTTTTTTAACGATAGAGATCATTGTCTTAAGACAAAACTAAAATATTGTTGCCCTACGACACAATGCCACACAATGCCTAGACAATTTATCATTTACACTTTTATATCATTTATACCCAAATTCTTCTATATCTTTCATAACTTTTAGATTAATGCGAATGGTGATATCGAGAAATTTATTCACAACTCAACGATCTACAATAATATCTATCTGTATCTATCATAATAACCATGTATAGCATATTTATCGACTGTAAAAACTGTTCAGGGCTAAGGGAAGGGATGTGACCTCATGTAAATCTTTTAGATTGTCTATTAGTTGTTATGGAATTGGTAATTAATAATAATTTGTTTGGAAAGAGTACCTACATGTACATCGTATGAGAAACTAGAAAGAATCTAGCGCGAACCTAATAAGCTCGAGCCTAATAAGAGTTCAGTCCGAATCTAATATGTTCGTGAAAAAGAACCCAGTAATATTTGTGTAAGAACCCGATAAGATTTTTGTTAAGAATACCATTCAGGCTAATCTAAGAAGATTCTGGTAATAATCCTGAAAGGATCGAACAGAAACCTAATAAGAATGTAATAAGAAAACAACAAGAACCTTTAAATTCTTTTAAGATTTTTATGAGATTCTTATCAAGATCTTCTCATTCTCACCATAATCTTATTCGATGTTCGCCAAAATATTAGATTGGATTTTTTATAAATTTTGGCTGGATACTTACAAGATCTTTATGAAGTTAGTTAATAGATTATGACGCTAGACTCTTATTAGATTCTTATTATAATTATATATTCTAACTTGAATAAGGCTTAATTATAACTGAAATCTAATATATAAGGGCGCGACAAAAAAAGGCCCTTCACTGCTGCAGTGATTCCGGCTTTCTACGTGGATGAAATTGAAAAAAAATTTATTTTTCGTTAAACTAGATAATATTGTCTGTAAAATGAACTACGATAAAAAATTGACAAAATGACGGCGTTTTTTAAAACAAAGTCGAATTTTACCCAAAATTTTGGTCGTTTTTTCGACTGCCAAAATTCGATATTTGATCCTAACAAAAAATCGATAGCTCATTTTACGGAGAACTATATATAGAATATGTAAAACAAATTGATAGTGATCGGATCATCTGTTTTTGAGTAATCACTGCAGCAAATTCGGAAAATGCTGTTTCGAGAAAAACGCGTTTAAAGATTCAATAATCGTTATACTATATACTATATATATATACACTTTAAATGGCTGTAACTCAAAAACTATTTAAGATATCGATTTAAAATTTTGGTATGTTATTTTTAAAGGTATAACCTATCAAAATATGGAAAAATTGAAAATTCGGTGTTTTGAAAATTTCACACTAGTTGTGCCCCTTAACCTGTTAACCGGACAGGACGCATAAATGCGTAAATTACCTACGGACGAGGCGTAGGTTTATTTTTGATCGACTTACTTGTTTGGTGCTTTCTTCTGTACCTCAAAAACATTAATAAATAATATGTATCAAAGTTTATCATTTATTTTGTATCTATAAAAATATGAAATTTTGGAGGCAACACACGCACAGTTAACAGGTTAAGCGTGATCGTCTTATTGGGTTTCTTCTTATTGTTAATAATAAGAATACAACTTGAAGTCCTCAATTTTTAAGTTGCATTATTCGACTACATTTATCCGAAGATTTAAGGTTGATACTTCCCCTGTTTACATCATTTAATTAAATTAAATTTTTAATGTTGCCGGCCGGGTATCACAGCTCTATTATTACTACATGCTGCGTTCATGAGTATTATAAATATAAATCATCTCCTATCAATAGCAAAGTGGACGCTACGCAACCGACGTTTTCTAGATATGTGGATAGGAGAAATACGAATTCAAATAAAGAGATAAATATAACATACGAAAATATACATTAAAACATTTTTATAGCCATATAAGAGCGTAAATCGATTCATTAGCCTTGGCTAGCGAAATTGTCAACTACAATAAAAGTATCGAAGGTCTCTAAAACAGCTGGGCAGCGCGATTGCTTTGGAAAAAAGTTCAAAATTTTTATAATATTATATCCAAAAGAGAAAAATTCAAATTTATCAAAACAGTCAAATTTTGTTGAAAAAGTTGAAAAGAAATCTCAAAATTGTAATACTTTCAACTTTCAAAAAATTTTAAAGTTTAAAAAAAAATTGGCGGTACGGGAAGTTCCAGCAATTTGCCTTAAGACACGGTGCCATACACAACTAGTTGAGGTTATATTCATCACCAAAATACCAGTACAAACATGGATGGCCGAGCTATCCAGCTCATGCGCCGTACTGACTTATTTCGTAATCTTTACCTTGACCCCCAAAACGC